TAAATGCAACACTGTGTTATGACCACACAAGTTCAGTCTGCCTTTCAAATTAGGGAGTAGAGTCAACTGCTGCGATGGTCAGGGAAGAGTTTACAATTCGATTTGATCCCATATGATGCGGACTTAAAGGCTCTACCCACCCAGCTTGTGATGTAAGTTCATGTGGAGAGCTCAGATGCGAGTGTGATGTTTGGGGACCACAAACGCTTTGGCAAGCTCACACCTTGATGTGATCTCGTCTGGGGAAAATACTGTACTGTTTCATACGGATTCACACCGGAGATGTGTTCTGTTGACATTCATGAGAGTGACTGATCTGTGACACAACGGGCAGTTCACTTATTTTTCGCTATTTTTTTTCTGCTTTTTAGTTCATCTTCTGGGTTACACGGTTTCAAATAAACAAACCATGATCTGAAATGAGGGAGCTTAGCCGAATGTAATCCTTCAGACCGGGATCTTCAGGGTGACTTCTGTGTATTGTGTAAAAATTCTGTTTTATAAAATCAAAGGGATCTTAAGCGGGGGGAATTAGGAATATCTTAGGTGGAGACTACTATAGTAGACTTCAGTGAGGGCAGCCATGTTCCAGTAGTAGGGGAATTTAGAACTTGGGTCTTTCGTATAGTAATGAGTAATGGCTCTCCATCTACTTATTCAGGTCATATTATATATTATAATATTATGGTTGATACAAATATTGATAAAATTGACCTCATGAATTAGTTTTGAAATGGGAACATAAATCCATTTCTTAAAAAGCCCTGGGGGTTGTATCTTAGTGTCAGAATAAATTAACATATCCTTTATTTTTAACCTAGAGTTTATTTTTTAAATCCTCTTTTTGACATTTTTATTTTATATTTCCTGTTTTCCCCTTACGCTTCCATTACCTTCCCTTCCTTCTTTCCATCTTGTTCTGTTGCTATAATATTATGAGTGAGTTGTAGTTGAAGACAGATTTCTGGTATTTGAAAATTTGGGGAAGATGGATGTACTAATGACTAATGCTTGATTTTTTTTTCTTTAGCCCAGTAAATGGGCTGTTTCATCAATGTCACGCTCATAACTCTGCCTGATCTACAACAGAGAACTGCTGCTTTTTCTTTCCTCATCCTTACTATTGTCATTTTTCCTCTACTTTTATATGTTTGAATTTCCGGGGTGCCTTGAAAGTCGAAACAGATTTTGGGCTGTTGAAGCTAGAGAGTAAGCCTGATTCCCTGTAAAGACTTTTCTGTTGACATCTACCGCCTTGGCGCTCATATGACCAGTGCTTCCACTCTTCCGTATTTTTATGGAAATCCGTACTTTCTGCCAGTTCCGTACTTGTTCCTCCATCATTATCAACTCCCTTCGTAAAAAAACTGCAACAGCGTCGGACAAGATAATGACTGCAAAAGATCCGCACTCGCCTTCGTATCGTCTTGTATAACGAGCTACGGATATTTACGGTATTTCTCTTGGCAATAAGTTAATGTTATAGTGACCTGCCATATTCATTGCGCATTTCCTGCAATCGGCCATTATTCCGCTATGCCCCATGTGTTCATCGCGGGTTGGTCGGCAGTACATGTTTACCTGCGGATTTATCAAAATCGGGCAAACTTTTTTGTGCCAATTTCCTCCTTTCTATCATTCACTCATTCCATCTGTCTTTTTTCGGACTGTGGCGGCGGCTGGAAAATATGCGCTTTGATCAAGTAAATTGACTTGTGATCTTAGACAGAAAATTACTCCAGAAAGAAACTGGTTTGCAAATTTATTGTCTAGAGCTAGAGAAATTTTCAATGCGAAGATTCTACGGCACGGGAACGCGATAAGGGCAGCTATGAAAGAAATTTGTGCTAAAACTACTAAAATCAAGAATAAATCGAAGTGGTGTTTCGAGGTTGTGACATGCGACATTCAGATGTGAAAATTGAGGAAAATTAGGGTATACGCTTGGTAACTGTATTATGAAGGTACATATCTATTCTTTATTCCCAGGTTTGCCTTCTATCAATGGTGCGATGACAAATTAATTGAATTATAGTAGCAATGGAAGGGGAACCTGCTTTTACATATTGCCAGCAATGAAAAGATATGTAGGTGAAGAAATCAAACAAGACAAAATGTTGGTGACAAAATAAATGTTATATTATGGGTTATAGACAATCTCTTCAAACAGGCTCCCAAATGCCATTATCAACCCTTTAAAAGCCCTGAGTTTCAATTTCTTAGAGGGCTTCGCCCCCTGAACCCCCACTGGGATGCTGTCCCTGGACCCTGCTAGGGGCCCCCAGACCCCCGGCAGAATTTTCCTTTTTTTTCAGCTTCAGCTGGTGGAAACACTAATTGATACTGCTTTTAATGCATTTGATGCTTTGGTTGAATTTGAAACCATTCATTAATTAAACAAATGTAATAATCATTATACATGCAGGACTTCAGATTTCAATGCATTGTTACGGTATTTAATCTGCTGTGCTGTATTGTCCACCCACATTTGTGTACAGTGACATTTGATTGATTTGTAAAATAGACATATAGACCGAAGAACTTAATTTATCAGATTAGATTTGATTCAGTTTCAGATAAAATTAAATGAGGGGGGAAGGTAAATGTTGCATTGGTATCCAGTGTAAGATTGCTCATACATTGATTAACAAGCACCAGAGATCAGGTGAAGTCTATAACTACAAGACAGAAGTGTATAGTACAGTAGTCTCCGCCTAAGATCCCACCGCTTACGATCCCGGTTCGCTTAAGATCCCGCTGTTTTAAGAAAACAGAAATTTTACTATACAAAAGTCACCCCTAAGATCCTGCTCTGATTCACTCTGAAGGTCTACATTCGGCTAAGATCCCGCATTTCAGATCATAATTTGCGGAACAAAAACCCAGGCGGGACAGCCGATCAACCGAGAGTGAAAAGTTGAGATCAATAAACTATCCGTCACGTCAAAGATCAACGGGGGCTCTCGTGGCCTAGAGGTTAAGGTGTTGGCCTCTCATTCAAAGGTCCCGGGTTCGAATACGGGTAGCGACCAAAAAATGTTCTTCTCTAAAATTTTCTCCTTTCACCTCCTTTCCTGCTCTTTAGTAATGTTCTGTTGTCTGCTTTCATTTCCACTTTCTGCCCCCACCCCCTCACCTCCTTTGCCCCCTCCTCTGGGCTCCTTACTCTTTCTGCAGCCTTTCTACTGCTACTCCTTGGCTCCTCCTTACTGCTGTCTTTCTGCCACACCCCTGATCTTCTAGTAGGAAAGATCTATCTACACCTAGCCTTCTCGGACAAGAGCGAAAAATCTCGGAGGGCCCGTGTGCAAGTTGCGCACGTTAAAGATCCCTTGGTGGTCTAAAATCGATAAGAGTAGGCTTCGGCCGCCACCCGGGCAAAATTCAAAATTTCCTACCAACTGAAAATATTAGGTGTGTCCCGCGCGCTCATATGACCTTATGCAGTTGCGAGCGCCGTAAAACACTTTACAAAAACAAACAAAGATCAGCCACTAGGTGAATGTGATCACATACACGTTGTAAAACTCGATGAAGCGATACAATGTTTGCCCCAGACCGGATCACACCGAGGTGTGAACTGACCTATACGTTTGTTTTCCCCACGCATCGCACTCACACCTGAGCTCTCCCCCTAAACTTACATCGCTCGCTGGGTGGGCAGGGCCTACACGTTCGCTCCAGGCGGGATCACATTGAACCTATCATTGAACTGTGAACTCTTCCCTGACCATTGCAGAAGTTGTCTTTACTCCCGAATTTGCGGGACAGACTGAATTTTAATTGGTGTGTTTACAACGTAATGGTGTGTAACGAAAAAGGCGGTTGGGGGGGGGGGACTCTGTCAGAGATGGAGATGGAAAGCTATAAATTTTCGACAGGTAAGGTGGAGGGGCAACTGGATACGCATAGGTCTTGAGACTCGTGATAGGATAAAAAGTGAAAATGGCACGCCTCATCCTATGCACTGTGATAGTTCACCAAGGTTAACCACTCTTTGCTCGCCATACGTCATAAACCCACCAAGCGGTCGTGTCAGTTCATTTTAGAGTGTAGGGAGACCATTGTACCTATTGTGAGCCTTAGCATGGGTCACCATAGATTCTTCCCTGGGTTCGTCGGTTAAGATCCCGGTTCGCCTAAAATCCCACATTTCCTTGTTCCCGAGCACCGGGATCTTAGACGGAAACTATTGTATTATCATATTTAAAAAAAAATTTTTTTCCCCGTGTCCTGATTTTGGCGCCCGTATTTGTTGGTTACGTAAAAAGAATGTAATGGTTCAATCTGTTTTGTTTTCTAGAGAAACGAAACAAGGGAAAGAGGAATTGGTAAGTCGGTAATGATGATGATAATGGTGACGATGGTGATGGTAATTGTGATGGTGAGCATGAGAATTATTATTTATGTTGACGATGATCATGTTCTAATGTAGGAAATGACGTGCGTATTAGTCTTAGTGTTAAGTTTGTTTGGCGCTTACTCGAGATCCCCGCCAGGCATCATATTTCACTTATGTGGGGCTTAAATCCATTTATTTTAAGCAGGACTATTGGGGGTTGTGTACAGAGTGAGTTTTGATGATGGATTAATATTTTAAATCAATTCACTTTGTCTCCTATGCCATGCGAAATGCACAGAGAAATGAACATGATGTTAACTCGTGCTCTTGAAACAGTTGGGTATGATTACATGGCAAAGAGGTACTGTTGTAACTAAATTACAGAAAACAAATAATTTGAATTAATCAAGAATATACTATCGATATGGCTTGGCGTTTTTGTTGTTGTTGAGTTCTGTAAATTTTGTTTGAATTGCTGTAGATTTTTTTAATGCGGTTGGCGGGCACCACTGGTAGATCCTACTTCTTGTCTTTCCCTCTGTCTGTCTGTCTTGCTTTTCCCCAGTACTAAAATACTCTGATATGTGTTTCTCTTCACCCCAAAAATTAAACGTTGACGGTCGGTTACATTTCTTTTTAAAAATCATTTCCTGTTCAGGTGTGCGTCTGATGGATGGCGCGATGGGCTTGGAGGAGGAAGTCGTGGAAGCTGTGCTAACCTGTGAGGGTGACTTCCACGACCCTGAACTACTCAACAGAATAGAAAGATTCCGGCATCGACTGAAAGACTTGTTGCTCACTGGTTTGTACAGTAAAAAATAGACAGTTTTGTAAAAATTTGTTTGATAGTACCTGAGGCAGTCCTATCTTTTTAAAAATCTGACCTGAGGTAGTTTAGAGTATTTGATAAAATGAAACAATTTTGTCATGGCATGTTTCACTGGTTTTGTCCCCTTACTGAAATGTTTCCAAGAAATTTTTAAAGCAAATTCAAAGTGCTACAATAAAGCCCTTTGTTGTTAAAAATTAAACATCTCTGTGCCTCTGCTTTTGTCCAGATATCAAAGTAAATACATTTTATTTATTTTTTACGAACAGTAAAGGTGACTGGTTGGTTTAAAAATTTGACCAGGGACCATTGCAAACTTCAAAATAAGGACAGGTCATTTTACGTGAAACCCCATTTTACAGCGAATAATTGAAGAACATATTTAAGCCAACGAAATGGATGAAAATAAAGTCAGTGACCATACTATAAATTATGTCCCTGATGTTGACATATTTTTTTTACAAGTCAAAGCAAATAAAATGCTAATGATAACAATATGGAAGGTACATCAAATTAGGGTGGTCCTTTCTACCCCTCTAGATTTTGTTCTATCCTTAATTTGAAGTATTTGTTGATTCCAGATTGCATGTGCAACATTTGAAATGTTATTCAAAAAGTATAAATCCAAATAAAACAAATTGGGCCATGAGTGTACCAAAATCATGATCCTTGCTAAAGAAATATGCTCTCTTTACATTTCAGTAATAAGCAGTAAGATTTTTTTTTCTTGCAGTAAACCTCACCTGTCAATACCGGTTTCTTTGCCTTTCCTGAATTTGATTCCTGAGTGGGGAAATTAAGTTTTCTAGTTTTTACCAACTCTCAGCTGGGATGATATTGTGTTTTGAACCTCGGTTTGTCCTTGCAAGCTGGTTTGGAGCAGCCCATCTCCTAAATGATCTAAATTGTCTTGAGGGGGCAAATAGCAATTAATGAAATAACACTTCTCAGTCCGGGTAAGGCGTTTCTTTCAACATGACTTAAACTTATTGATAGTTAATAGTATATATAATATATATATGAAAAATGTACTCAAGCCATTTGACACTTGCAATGTAAAATTTTTGTTTTGCTTTCGTCTCTGAATGTAATGTATGCTGGTAGCATAAAGTTGACTTTCTTAATTTTTTTTTTTTCAACAGAAAAGAGGAAGCTGCAAGTCAAGAAAATAGAACCATGGAATAGTGTGAAGGTCACTTTCACCATCCCAAGAGAGGCAGCCCTGAGACTCCGGCAGCTAGCTCAGACTGGAAATGACACGCTACGACAGATGGGCGTGCTTTCTGTCCAGATTCAAGGAGATTCCCAAATATCGCTCACCTTCGCTGGTGGCAATAATGAACCAACGCAAGTTGTCTTGCGTACATCTCCAACTGTGCAAGCAGCAAGTTCCTCCCTACCGTTTAGCTCGGCAGGTGCGGCAGAATCTGGTCGGGCCAGCTCAGATGAACTGGGATCTTCCCCGGGTCCTAGCAACGAGGAGGTGACGAGGAAGAACATTGCAAAGTACTTGCGGGATGGCCCACATGTAAGGCGGAATGCTGCTATCTTTGACAAAGTCTTAGTGGCCGGAGCTGCACGCCAGCTACCACCAGCTGTTGCAGTTCAAGGCTTGGGTCTGGGTGCTCCCCCAACCTCAGACCCTGTCCCTGGTCCCTCAAACATCAACCCACCTTTTCGGCCCAACAACGTTGTTGCCGGCATGGCAGCGCTGCCGAGTCAGAGACCCAGAGGATCTCAAATCAACAGCAGTTTTTCATTCTCAAAAAGCTCGGGGGCGTTCCATCCACCTCGTCCTCGCCTTCCCTCTGCTGGTCAGAGCACAAACATCACAACTTCCTCTCCTCATATGCAGTTGGTAAACACTCCGCCGTTTGGGGTGCTGGGCTCAGCATCGCAGTCTGCAGCATTTGCCAGTTCTCCGTTGGACATTGTCAACGTTGGCACCATTCCTCACAGCTCAGCCTCAAACGTTCATAACTTTAACCCTGGTGGGCCCATGCGCTTGTCACCCGTCTCCTCGGGGGCAATGATCAACCCTTCTGTGGTTCGAGGACCTCCCTCTAGCTCCCCGTCATCCAGTTTCATTATGGATTTGCCCCCACCTCCTCCCTACCCCCACGCTACAGGGAATACGCCTAGACCAGGCAAACAAGTTACCGCATCCAGTCCTCTCTTGGTGAACTTGTTGCAAACAGACCCCTTAGCTGTGGGGGCGGGAATGGCCAGTGGGAACCCCAACAAACCCATAAGTGCGGGGGATTCAAACGGTGGTGCCCCACCCAAGAAAAAGAGACGGCCACCAAAGAAGGATGGAATTGTGAAACCCCAACCTGTGAATGCTGTAATGCTGAGTGGTGCAAACAGGCCCGGTATGTTTGTGGATATTCCATCAGTAGGTAGGGTTGCGGAAGACATTGGGCTGGGATTACCGGGAGCTGGACCCGTTCGGGATTCTTTTTCTGTAGATTTAGTGCAGTCTAGGGTTGATGGTGTTCCTGTTGGCCATATACCGGATTCATTTATACCCAACTTGCGTCCAGATAGCAAACATTTTTCAGCAGACCGTCCCTTTATTGAAAGTCGAGTGGACCTTCCTCCCTCTACTGGACTGAAATCAGATACCAGTGTTAGAAGTGCAATAGGACCAGGGATTGTCAGCTCTACCATTTCTAATACAGATGGACAGGATAACCTCTCTAAAGATGGTGACCCATTCAGTCTGGAAATTGCTGCAGGCAAAATCATAAACCCTTATACTGGTAAGTTAGAACCAAGAGACAGTGTTCCAGAAAGGACTCATGCAAGGCTCATTTCTCAGGAAGATAACATTGCCACGCATATGTTGGCGAAGAAAGCAAAGGAGTTGGGCGAGTTGAGTAAGAAGAGTGTGCCTATTTCTGCCAGCCCCGTGTTAGACATGAATGTTATTCGACCATTTCCTTCCTCTGTTAGTGTTACTGCTTCTACTGCTGCTGTCAGCTCAGGTGGGCCATCACAGGCACCAGGTGAGAGGCTTGTATCCTCTGTACCCAGCCATCGTCGCAATCTGATTAGCGATGGTTCGCATGTGGAAGGGAGAGATGGATCTGCTCAGTCCAATATCTATGCAGCGACTTCAAATCTGTGGCAGGAAGTTGTTGGCAACGGCACAGCAACGACCATTTCCTTGCCCCATTCCTTACCAGGCTCTCTACCTCAGAGGGTACCAGCCAACAGCAGCAGCCTTCCCTCAAATAAGAGTTTTGTTCCAGGCCTTGTGACTGTGAATGGACCTGTTCCTGGAGCTGCAATGCTCAAGCACAACGTGATGTTGCAACAACACCAACACCGGAGCATCGCTAACCCCTCCTTGCCAGAGCACTCCAACCCCTCAGGATCTGTGATTTACTCAAGTGTGACTGTCCCCAGTTCTTCGTCTGCACCGCCTCATTCACACTCCTCCCACCGCAGTAGTGGTGCAGGTGGCCAACTACAGAGTCAACAACATTCATCACAGATGACTGTGACATCATCTAGTGTTGCAGCTGTGAACTCCTCCTCCTCCTCCTCTTCATTACATCAGGCTGGTTCCAGGGCCCAACGTCCAGTTCCTCATTCCTTAGCTCCTCATCTCAGGGGAGGAGGACCGTCATTATCCACATTATCCTCCTCATCCTCATCAATGGTCCAAATCTCAGAACGTTTGAAATCTGATTCAAATCACACCTCCTCCTCCTCCTCCAATCAGCAGAATCAGGCAGCAAGCTCGGAAGTAGTTGGCGGTGGCTGTTTTGCTGCCAAGACTAGTTCTCCAAATTTGCTCAATTCTTTACCTGACAAAAACATAGACTCTCAGAGCAGTACGGAGAGCCCTCCTGAAAACAAGCTGTCCTCGGAAGGTGATGAGAATTCAAATCACAGCGTGACAAACACAGACAATCTGCCTGAGAGTTCTGGTACGGCTGCACTGTTGGAGCACTCAGGGGTGAAGTCTGAGAATCATGACTCTGGTATCGGCAGTTCTTCCGAAAGGTCGGACGACACACCCTCTGAGCCTGGTGACGGCGAATTCAGGTCGGCACCCACGGGGACAGAGACAGATGAAGCGTCTGGGAACAAAGCAGTTTCCTCTCAGAAAGTGGCAAATTGCAAACTGGATAGCAAACTGGACTCTTCTGCGAACACCATCACAGTAGGTTATATGATGAGCCCAGGAGACATTGGCTCACAGGCAAAGCCGTCTTTTGTGAAAGATTCAAGTCAGGCTGTGAAACCTCAAAGGACGTCTGCTTCATCACCAAATTCTGAAGTGTCTAGTTTTCTCGATAGTCACCTAAAATCAGTAGAAAAGTCAGAGTTCCTAACGGGGACCCACACTGTGGCATCTGTCACCTGGAGTAAAGAGCCAGGAAAGCTTCAGTCTCATCCTGGGTTTTCAGGACTAGCAAAGCAGAATGGACCTGTCTTAGAAGATTTGGTAAGTGCCTCATTACTGCTCAATTATCAATTGGTTTAGAAATGGCAGTGTAATTGTATGTGTCTGTGTGCTGTTTTTCTTAAGCCTAAAAATCTATGCAACAAATGTACACAGTGTCTTAGTAGTCATAGTGGGTGGTTGACGGGTGCTCTGGTGTGGTTTGTTCCTTTCCTATCTAACATCTATCGTCCTTTTCTCCCCTCCTTCTATTTTGTGTTTGCTACTCCCTTGTAACACCTCTAATCCTTGGCACTTATATGACCTTATTGTGTTACAAGTGCCGTAAAACTTACAAAAACTAAACTTAATAGTCATACAGTTTGTTTGCTTTGCTCATCCAGTACCTGGCCGTTTCTTGAGTCACTGTTCTCTACCAACCATCTTTCTTGTTTATTTTTCTCCATATTTTCATGTTTGAAAAAGATGACCTGTAATTATTATAGTGAAACCCTTCACCTTGCAGGCTAAATACCTGAGTTTGGTTCCTATGTTGGGAAGTTAACTTTATGTAGTATTTACAGTAGAACATGACTATAGTGGCACCCGCTGCAGCGGGACCTTACCGGAATTCCCTTTTCAGAAAATATAAACTCAGTTACCTGTGCCTGGTTTTGACGGGGCAAGGAAAGGCCTGAGCTTGGATACAGTGGGTGAGATAGAGTGAGCTCTAGCTGGGCGGAAGTGGGTAGGGGACTGTAGGTGCGGCATTGTAATTTTTCAGTCCAGTGATGAGTGAGGTGGGCAAGTGGCAGATAGAGATGGTGCGAAGAGATGCGTTATGTGTGCCACTCTAAAAGTGATGTGCCATTGTCCTAGGTCTAGGCTAGGTCAAAAAGACATTAAAAGAAGAGGAGAGTGTTTACGGTTTGGTGTGTGATTTGTCAGTAGTCATGTTCTACTATACTGCATTTTTCTTCTGGGAACTTATATTGTGACAGAGTAGGATTGAAGTTGCCCACCCCTCTAGTTGGTTTGAATTGTGTTGATGTGGATGAAGACATTCTCAATCAATCTGTCATTTGCATCTTGAAATGTGGCCAGGAGACACTGAACTGCCTTCAGCGTTTATTTACATGATTTAAAATAGTGGCTTTGTATGTTGTTTTCTTTTATCTATTTCGGTCTTCTTTAATGATTTTCCAGAACACCTTCAGTTACTCACTTTGATAAAAAATTTGGCTTCCTTTTATGTTGGCTGTGCTCTTAATCTCTTATAATGTCATTTTCGTTCTTATTTTTCTTATGTTATCAGTGTACCCCCCGGGGCGATGCCACTGACTGAAGTGTGTTTAGGCCATTCCCAAAGGGGGGTGACATTTCTCGTTCTAATGCACAGTAGAATTGTAAATGGGCTGATCCAACAATGTCATGCTCATAACTGTGCCTGAACTACAACAGGAGCTGCTGTTTTTTCTTTCCTAATCTTTACTATGGTCATTTTCCTCTACTTCTTTTATATGTTTCTCACACTCTTGTGACCTGCTATTTCCGGGGTGCCTTGATAGCGGAAGCAGACTTTGTGCTGTTGAAGCTAGAGAGGTGAGCAGAGTAAGTATGATTCCCTGTAAGGACTTTTTTGTTGACATCCACCCCTTTGCGCTCATACGTTATGCTGTTGCGAGCGCCGTAAAACCTCAACTAACAAACAAATATGTTATCAGTGTACTAGGTTGTTTGAATTTTATGCTCGATTAAAGTAGTTTATGTCTGTATGGATAACTGCATCTTATAGAACAACACTGGACTACTCTAGACTGTAGTCATGTCTATAATTTCCTTACATTTCTAGTTGAAGAAAGCTAAGAAAAAAATATAACAGTGTAAAAAGACAAATCTGCTGTCATGTAACCATATTATTGTGCTCAGTTTATCCAGTGTTAGTCATGTGAAGTCTGATGGGGAAGGTTTTTGAGCATAAAATTTGACTGTTCTGTAATATACAGAAACAGGAAGGAACCCAAATTTAATTGGATATTAGTTCTCCAGTGCAGCTTTGATTGGATAGTATTATTTTGATTTTATTTTAAAAGTTCATTACCCTGCAGTTTAGAACAGACTTTACACATGTTTGAGAACAGTTGTTGGAAGAGGTAGAGGTCAACTGTATTAGTGAGGATAATTGATATTACATGTATTTCTATAGCAGCTGTATTGCAAAATAAAGCCCAGGAAAAGTGGGATTTTACAGCTAAAATGCAGACATTGTCAGTATAAGTAATGTAATCCAAGGAAAAGTGAAAGCAACTTTATTGTTACTGGTTGTATTGAAATGGAATTGTTTTCTCGAATCTCTCTATTTTGTTTATCTTAGCCGGCACCATGTCATTCACATTAGGACCACAATGATTGATCGCTCATATCTACTTTAAACCAGCAGTTTAGTTCTGGGTTTTTGCTGTGTAGTCGGTTTTAATAAGCAAAGATGTCTATAGGTTGTTCACTTTCGTCTGACCGCGTTAAAAAAATTCTAGCTCATTGAAGAATTTACCTATGTCCACGAAACTTTGCATGGCACTTCTGCAGGCGAGCGACCAAACAAAAATGTTATTTAAAAAAATCTTGACTCAGTAATAAAGAAGTTTTTCTCTTTGGGCCCTATATATTAAAAACCGCTCTTTGGATGCATACACAGGATCACTAAAATAAACGAATTACAGTACATTAGCCTTGCCTACAAATTGCTCATTTTGAGACGGTGACACTGCCCTGCCCCCGCATTTTGACTGTATTGACGTCTCCATGTTCTCCACGTGAGTCTCGAAAAATGCTCGTGGGCGAACGTTAAAGAGTGGTGTTGAGGAAAATATGTCAACTTTTAAATGTTATAGGTGTATGTTGTAAATCCCCTAATATTTTTTTTACCCGCTTTAGGACTACATTAAAAAAAAAAACGTGTCGGAAACGTAGTTTGCAGTGACTTTTATGAATGGGCTATAAGATTCTGTTGGTCGCTTAACTTTTAGACCTGCATACAAAAACCCAGAGAGATAGAACAGCTATTTGTTTCTGTACCGTTTTAACCGCGATCAGAGAAAAAAAAGTAAGCAAGCTATAACAGGAGGTTAGCATTTATTTTAGTTACTAGTTGAAATGTCTCCATTGTACTTAAAGAGCTGTTCTTTATTTAAACACTTACACATGCAGTAGCCAATGAACAAGTTTCACTATTTCATAATTTCTTTTTGGGTTTTGCTGCATAATTTTGTTCTTCATGTTAGTAACGTTAATTTTTATTTTGATGAGTGTAGTATAGTAAATAAAAGACGATTTGATTTTTCATCAAAAGTACAATTTTGTATTGTGGGAAAAACAAGTATAAAAACATTTTGATTAGAAAAAAACAAACTGAAAGTTGGAGTTGAATCAAAGTTTTCAAATTTGATTTGTAGAAAATGAAATTTAGTAAGTGAAGAGTTTTCTCATTTTGGTCCATGATTTTGACAGGAATTAGACACAGTTGCATCCAGCCCCCCCCCCCCCCCCCCCCCCCCCCCCCCCCCGACAGTGACAGATTTTATTTATCTATTAGCTTTCTTAACTATTACTATGTGTTATATAAGTATTTTGTGGAGGGGAAATAAAAAGGGTTTACTTTCATCTCTGTCCCTCTCGTCCTATTATTGCAAATAGCTTTGGGTTACTAGATTTTAGCGCATAAAAAAAGGGACTTGTGTGTGCTTATATCTCTATCTTTAATATGCAAATACTCTGTAGTAAGCCAATCTTTGTTATTCTTTATTGTGTTTGTCTTTTCCTGACTTCCTAATCTGTTTTGCACAAGATTTCATTTACTATTTCTGCCTTGTTTCTTGTATGATATCTGTATGGGGTGAAATATCTTTTTTTTGTATTTTATGAAGAGTCGCAACAATGATGAACAATGCATGTTTTTCTGGACACTCAGTTCGTAGTTATTAGCGCAGTTTTGGAGATTCAGGCTTTCTTTACAAAAGGTGGTATACGGCTTCGTCCTTTTTAGCTTTGACATTTATTTTTTCTGAAAGGATGGATTTTATGAAGACAGGGAAGATCAGGATACTATGTGAGGCATTGTAGTGAAATCAGGCACCAGTCAAAATTTAATAAAATGAAATTAAAAAAAAACCCAGGCATTTTTCCTCCAGTTTGGCAATTTTTATCAAATTTTTTTATTTTTTTTTAGCTCAACACCTTTTCTGTCCATATAAAAACACATTTTTATGTGAATGTTACTGGAAAAACGTTGATTAATTGCACAAAATATATCGATTTTCCGTTTCCAAGGACTATAGCTATAGATGTTACGAAACTCTGGCGGCCATTTTCTCAATAATTTTACCTCTGAAGCCATGCTACCCCCACCTCCTTCAATTTCAAATATTTCGGCTTCTATTCAAGATATATGGTGGGTTTTTTTTCATACAAAGCAAGGCAAATGAATAAGCTTTGAGATAATACCAATAACTCCACATACCCAAAAATTGACGAGCGCCTGATTCCACCACATGGTGAGCGCCTGATTCCACCACATGGTGACACATACAGATAGCTTTTTTAAGGGCATCTGAGCAAAGGATTAAATAGTGAACCGTGATTGCCAATATCTGTCGCGGGTCTGGCTATTGATGATAATGTCCTATATTATTTTCAGTCAGCGTTGTGACTATTGTATAAAAAATCTTTTTACTTGTTAAGGCCTCTGCTGGAAACATCGGACAGTGTTCCTATGGGTCCTTTTTGAGTGACAGGTTGGGGGACGTAAATTGCTAGCCAGGAAAGAATTTGAGTTTTTCCTCTTACTTAAAACGTCTTGCCATGCAAACAGTGTTTTTGTTATATAATTATAATACTAAGGTTGAAGATTACTCGCCCAAAGTCTCCAAATCATTTCCTAACCCCAAAATAATTGATGACATTTTCATTGTGTGTTTTGTGATGTTATATTTTTGCTTGAGGTAATGAAAAGTGTGCTTGCTTCTTTGAAGGAAACCCATGACTCTACATGGCAGTAGCTCTAAGCTAGGGAAAGTGAATTTGTGGTTCTAGGTTTCATCAACTTTGACTTTTGACCTTTGTGAAGCACAGCATTGTTTATGGGGGTCAGGGGTTAGAGGCTTAAGTTAAATTATGTTTTTGGCTTGGAAATTGGTGTAGATTCGTGGATTGGTTGGTGACAGCCTATTCTTTTAGTAATAGAGTACACAAATTTTTGACAGGTATCTGCTCTTTGTCCTGGGTGTTGTGCTTGATTAGCTGATGGCTTGTGTGTTGTGTAGAGTGAACCAATATTTGCTTTTTCAGCTCTTGCTTTCTTACCCTTATTTATTCTTCTCTTGCTACTTAGAAAGGTGGGTAAGGAAGAAAAAGTGTCGAAGAAGAAATGTTATGAATGCATATATCTATTTACAAATTGGTGTGAAAACCACTTTCTTTTACTAAATGTAAAAAAGACAAAGGAATTAATAATAGACTTTAGAGTAAAAAAAGACAATTGCAACCACTATTTATTAAAGATGAAGAGATGGAGGTGGTAAACTCTTACAAGTATCTTGGTGTAACAATCGACAACAAACTTGACTTGCATACCCACGCTGCTCTTGTGCATAAAAAAGTAAATCAAAGAATGTTTCTTTTAAGGAAATTAAGAAGTTTCCGTGTTGACAATAAGATTATGTCCCTTTTTTACCATTCTATGATTGAAAGTGTGCTATTATTTTGTATTTGCTGCTGGGGTGGGAATTGTAAGGTGAAAGATAAAGAAAAATTTGACAGAACCATTAAGAAAGCCAGCAAGATCTCTGGATATGATTTTATTAGAATGGATGAAATGTATAACACTGCACGTATAAAAAAGATAAAAAGCATTATAAACGACCCATCACACCCCTTTTCCACACAAATTGTAAGATCACGCAGCGGCAGATATGTACCTCCAAAAACAAAGAAAGAAAGATATAAAAGAAGCTTTTTACCATCTAGCAAGGCTTTTGTCAGAATGAGCACAGTTGTGTGTTGCTCTTAGAGTATGTATCTGTATATATAACTCCAAAGGTCTAGTATTTAAATTCCTACATGTGGTTGAATGATGCATTTGATGTAAATGTACATTTTGTCAGCTTTACTTCTCCTTTCATATTGAATTTTAATGAGAGTATATATAATTTAAATTTTGTTATGTATACCTGCATGTGTTTTTACGGTCCTGTACAGCCATGGAAAATTTCCGTCTGGGATAATAAAGTACTATCTTATCTTATCTTATCTTATCTTACCTGTCTTATCTTATCTTATCTTATCTTATATTATATTATATATATAGGAATATATGAATGTGTTGAATAAGTCAGTGAATGACATGGTGCATGATGTTCTTTTTCTTCAGAATTATTTTCCAACCATGAAGATGAATGGTCCATCATCACACAACAGGATAGAGAAAATGATCATGGACATAAATGATTTACAACAGAAGAGAAAGATATCAGCAAAACATAATGCCATCAACAAAGGTATGATTGAGTTCAGGTGAAGTTTTGATTGTAGCATATTTATTTGACTTTCTGGTCTATATTATTAAGCGAAGTTAGGTAAATGTCTTGCTAATTACTTTTTATATAAGCTTTTATACAATTTGTTTTGGTCTGAACTGGTTTTCAGCCTCGTGGGATCTTACCTTTTTCCCTGTTCAGTGGAGATGGGATGAACTCTTTCTTTTTCAGTGTTACTTTTACTTTATATGGCAAACCTGTCCAGTAAAAAATATTTGTTGGTATCTTGACTGAGTGTTCTTTCCTCATAGACGCATGACAGCGTTCCTCTGACTCTCAAACTGTTAAGTCGAACCTGCTCTAATGTACATGCGACCACTTCCCACTTCCCCGATGTTTTTATGCATATTTTTGTTACTATAATGACACTGGTCAATGCGCCTACTTTCTAAGACAGCTACTTTTCTCCTCGATAATAGGCAACTTCTAATAAATACAGCAGCAGGAATAATATCAGCAAAAAGAGAAGTGAGGGTATGAAACTTCAGTATGCCAATAATATAAATGCAATTTATAGTCGTTTTGATGAATGATAATTTAACATCTCGTCATCAACATAAAAGTGAACTTACAAATGGCCGGTTTTAAGCACAATGGGGGCTATCCCGAAAAATGCTGTTTTGAAAAAATCGAAGGTAAAGTTTTTGACCCTTGTTCGGTTTCTTTGAAAGACAAGGAGTTTTCTCTATCACCAAACAAATATATACACACCAATGAAACCAAACTTCTCTTAGAGGTAGGGCAATGCCTACTTTTGGTGTTGGTCAAGATTTCTGTAAACCCCCGAAATCTGGGTTAGCCTGTTTGTCCTTATTAAAAGCAACCAAATAACAGTGATAGAATTGTAGAGGGGAAGGAAAGTAACGTCTGTCAGGTTTACATGTATGCACGAGGCCCTCGTCATATCAGTGGATGCATTCTAAAAAGTTGTTATAATGGAAATAAATAGCATTTTTACTGTCTTATTTAATGTCTCTCCATTTGAACGAAATATCATCACTGTGGGAAAACAGCTGAAATAATACCTGTCCCCATGAAAGACGATGTTTTGAAACATGAACAACTTTCGGCCAGCTGTTATATGAAATAGTAATAGTTTGAAACATTGATTCTGTGAGTGTGTTGCCCCCCTTCAGTTTTTTCCTACAATGGCCAAATGTAGTGTAAAAGACACTGTTCTCGTTTTTATGAACGCTCTTGTAAGACCAGAAACACATGATGCCCAGTGCGTGTTCTGTATAAGAGCATTTGCCAAAAGGTGGGGTACCTGGGTGTGACAAATGAGGTCCAAAATCAACTTTATGTAATACTTCTTTAATCATCCATATTATATCGCCTAAAGATTGCTCTTTCAGGCTCAGTAACTGCCAAAGCTGTATATGCAATGGTCTTGGTGTAATTCTGACTTGAATGGCGGAAATAGCAAAAAGTTTGTTCATGACAATGATGACACAAATTTATGAATACTCAAAGTTCCTTTCTTCAGCTAGGCTGAGGTTATATTTTGAGACATAGCAAACAACTTCCAAAAATAGAATAGAATTAACAGTTTATAAAAATCTTTATTAATTTTTGGTAAAATTACTTTTTTGTGTCATAATAGTTATGAACGAACAATAAGTGACCAAAATACTATCAATTATGTAAAGTTTCATTGACTAGAATTGTCTAAAATAACACTCTGGTCTAATTATAGTCAAGTGATAAATAAAAGACCATTCAACAGCTATTTTTAAACGCAAACTGGTCATAGGGCATGTTATGCATAAATTTAAAGTTCGTCCATAACCATTATGACACACTGTTTCGTTCATAACTATTATGACAAATTTTACTTTGGGCCACTAAAATTTACTTATTGTTCTGTCTTTCACATAAAATGGTTTTCATTTATGAGACTTTCCTTAAAATATGATAGATTACTCTATGTAAGGAGAATTCAAAGTTTATTTACTGAAAAACCCTTAGAATACCTTTAAAATGGTTTGCTCATAATGACAAACTTCAATTTTGACCTAAAAATTAATACATTTTGATCTGTCATACATTTTTTAAAACTTTTATTAAATGAAACTATCCTCATAATATGTATCTCTGTACATGTTTTTAAAGTTTATTAACACTGAAAAGCCCTCAAAATATATAAAATGGACAATAAATAGTTCGTTCATAACGAATACTACAAAAGTAAAATACTTATTAAAATCCACACCCATACACTTATGATAAAAGTCAAAATATCAGAATGTATGCAAGGTCTATTCTGTCCTTTAGTTGGGTTAAAATTAAAAATACATCCCAAAACAAGTGTAAATTACATGGAATAAAGTTTCGTTCTTTACTGTTATGACACACTATTATAACTATTATGAGAAATTTTACAAATTAATGTTTTGACGTGTCATTTAGAAAGCCCTCAGAGTACAATATGTAGTTCGTTCATGCATAACAATTACTACAAAAGAAAAATACTGATTAAAATACATACCCATACACTTATGATAAAAATCAAAATATCAGAATGTAAGCAAGGAAAAATAGAAATGACATTAATAATTTATGAGGCAATGGTGTTGTCATCATTATCATTCAGAATGCATTTTAGGGTTGAAATGGGAAAAATTGTACAAGACTTATTTTGTCTTACATGTATAAAATAAAAACTACCTATGTTGAAAATGAGAAAATACCATTGTGTACTTGTGGAAATCCACTGATTTGAAGGAAAAGTTTCTATTGGGATGCTTTTTGCATTGGTTCAGTTGCTTTCTAAGAATCACAATAACAGTAGATACGACAATAAAGTTATTGGACATCTACTGTGTAATGTCAGTGTCCTTCAGGTTGTGTCTGGTAGAGGTTGTTTTCAACTAAAATTATAATAATAATTCATTGCATTTATATAGCGCTTGCAATGCTCTATGCCCTTAAAATATATTATCAAAATGTTCAAATATTACAGGTCTCACCTCACAAGACATCCCTCATGAGCATATGAAGCTGCAAGCTGAGGTTTTTGAGAAAATGGCCAAGTTACATCAGCTTGGAGAATGTTCCAAAGATGATAGTGAGCTGGTAGGGAGCAAGCCCAACAGCTTTGACAAGTCCGACTCTCCCGATGCCTTAGCTCAGAGAATCCACCAGATGTCGGATGAGAGGCCAGACCACTTGTCTATATATGAGGTGGAAGAATTCGTTAACGGCAAGATGGCAAACAGCAACGGTGGGGAAGGAAAGGGAGGAAGCAACATCACCTCCATCTATTCCAAGCGCTCGTCCCCTGTGAATGTGAACATGTTGAACCACATCTACGCCCCTGGTCTCCCACTGCCGCGGCGGCTCACCGAGTCTGTTCAGCGACTGGTCAAGCCACTCCCAGCCTCAGAGAGTTCAATGCCGCAAGTGAGGCCGTGTAAATCTCCGGGTTCGGGTGGATCTCCGAGGGCTGGCACGACCAGCAACGGGCAGAGCCTGTCGTCCCCTCGCCTCTCGCAGCAGAGTGGGGCTCGCTCCCCTGGAGCCAGCATGCCCAAACTCATACCCAGCGACCGACACTCGTTACTATCGGGGGGCTTGGATCTGGCCGGTCTGCAGTTCCCTTCATCTTCTCAGTCCCATGACCAGGCAGGTGTTGGTGCACTGGTGAATTGTAAGAAGGCAGGGCCTCTCTCTTCTACAGCAGACATCTTATTGAGAGATCCACACCTCCTGTCCGTATCCCTGCCCACTAATCAACACTCTCCCCCTAACTTATTTGATGGACAGACGGTGCCCAATATGCACTCTAGCAAGATGCTGTCCCAGAGTTTCCCTCCCCACAAATCTCGAGACCTCATGGCCAGCGGAGCTCACATGAGCAATGAGTTGTTGGTTAGTCTGCATCAGCACTATGCTAGCTTAGAAATGAAGAACTCCTCTCCCACATTTCTGAACAGTCAGCTCCTAAAATCTGGTAGTGATTTGGGCAAGACCAGCAGCCAGGAACTGAGAAATGCGATAGCAAATTTAATTTCTGATCAGCCTAGCAGTTCCTCCCAGAATACTGTTCTAGGGACGTCTTTGTCTGACTCAACGACAGTGACTAGTCAGGCCCGACTGCACTCGTCCTCCCCTGCTAGTGTAACTGTTGAGAATAGTTTTACTACAAACACGGACATGCCCACTCATTCCAGTAGCAATAACGTGGAAGCCGCAGACATGCACCCCTCTACCCATTCCAGCACTTTGTCGCCCGTGATGCCTGTGTTGCAGAGAGGGCTAGAACCTCCTCTCTTGGCCCAAAGCATCAACCCACCTCCAACCTCTAGTCAGCCCTCCGCCTCCTCATCCTCTTCTTCCTCCGGTGGCCCCAGCTCCTTTCCCTCCCAGAATGAGATCTCACTCAGCAGTAGCAGCAGTAGTAGTATACCTCCCCTGTTAGCCAGTTCACACAACGCCGCTGCCACTACCACCACGCCAGTGTCAAACAAGTATGTGCCTTATTCTTTAAGCTCTGTTATCAGCTGCTCCTCTGGCCTGGAGACTGTCACGTTACGGTCTTCTCCTGCAGTGTCATTGGCGACATCAGGCCCACCACTACCACCCTCAGTGCTAGAAATACCCTCTTCCTCCTCCACCGCCGGCCCAACAGCAGCAGCAGTAAAATCCAACTCTTCAGTGGCAGCTACGACTAGTCTAGCAGCCCTCCCAGCTCCCAACAGGTCCTTGTCACCCCCGAAACTGCACAAGAGTCCTATCACCATTGGTAATGTGCCCTTGCCAGCATCCCCTCGGTCAGGTGGTCCACCAATTCACAACCGCAATATCTTTGAGAGTGTCACAGGGTCCATGAGCCACATTCATCAGCCGTTTCCGATTTCTTGTTCTGTGGGGGAGACGAACCCACAAAGCAACTCAGTAGAGAAGAGCTCGGTGAACCTAGATGTCCCCTCGTACACTAGGGGAGGGACTGGTCATAATAATCAAAGTGATTCAGTTGGTACAGTATTATTTTCAAGTGAGAGTACTAGTGATAAGACAAGCCTGTTCAATGTTTCACTGGATATGCCTCCGGACTGCAACAACGTTAGTATTGGTGGTCGGTCTGAGACAGCCAACATTACCTCCATACAGACTGCTGTTGAGCCCCCGAAATCAGAATCAATTTCTACAGAGGTTGTAAATCTGGACTTTTCACTGTCTCAGCTTCCACCGCCACTAAGTACTGTTGGCTCAATAGTGCAGAGAAACGGCTGTCTGACCAACCCCACCAGGTCAGGGTTGTCGCCGCCTTTGCTGGGGTCAAGTCTTTCGCAAATGCCTTCAGTGAACTCGTTATCTACCTCACCTCTGTCATTGTCAGCCTCTAGAGCAGTGCCGTCTTCGGCCTCTGCCATCGACTCTGTTGTGGAGACCATCGCTTCTGTGGCAGCTGGCAGGGACGACTCTTCGTCTCATAGACCCCTTCCTTCATTGCCCACTACTCCCCATAACTCCTCTGTTGCTACCATTTCTTCTCCCATGAAAGAACCTGTTCTCGCAACCATGGCATCTAGTTTAGGCTCACCTTTTAGAAGTACGAAAACTATGTTAACAAAATCTCTTGTAAAAACGAAACGGACAGACACTGAATTGTCATCAAAGGAAGACCGAGGAGAGCTTAGTGGGGAAAATAAAATGGTTACAATTCAGAGCAGCTCCCTAAAGGATGTTGATTTTAATGACTCTGCAAACACTCTTTCTGTAGACAGTTTAGGCAAGAGAGCCACCAGGAAAAGAAAGCTCACTGGTGACTCTAAGGAAGGAGAAGGAGAGTCTACGATGCTAAGTGGTGCGACAACTTTGAAACAACAGCGTGTAGGTCACTCACCGACAGCAGCTAAGCAATTTCCAAAAGCACCTGAGAGTGTTGACAACAAGGGAATACCGGCGGCCAAATTAACGCTAAATGATGCACCATCGGCGCAGATAAACACGGAAAAGAGCGGGGACACATCGTCAATCTCTCAGGTGTCCCCTTCTGTGAATGTGAATATGGAAGAACAGCCTTCTAACAAAGGAGACCAGTTGCCCGCAGCTGTTGCCTCTGATGCAGAAGATAAATCATTCACTGCTTCCAAAGAGGAAAAATCCCACCGAAGTGCTGCTATAGCCCCGTCGATTCCACCTGAGGAGCCCCCGAGAGAAGTGCATTCTCAGGGGGTCTCAGGAAGTGATAGCAGCAAAGATGTTGGCCCGAAAGAGAACAGGCTATATCGGACAGTGACATTGCCTTCATCTCATGAGAGTAAAGAGGTCAGGCATAGGACACCTTCTTCCCACTCAGCTTCCGGTGATGAAAAGGAATCTGTGCGGTCTCGCAGTGTCTCCGGGGAGGAAAAAGAGAGCCATAGCTCCCACCGAGCCTCGTCTGCTTCTTCTGATGATCATGCTGATGCTGGCCACAAGGACGGGGCAAAAGTTCATCGCAGCACTGGGAAAGTTATAGAGGAGGTTGATGGGAATTCTAAAGAAAAGGCAGCCAAAGTGGGTGCGGGGGAAGATGCAGCCAAGGAACGGGTGAAGGCTGGGAAAGATGCAGCTTTTGAGAAAGGTCTCATACCTCAAGACAAGGTTGGTGCAGCTGATGCCAGGGCTGATGTGGATGGAGGAAAAAAGACCCAAAGAGTGAAACGCCAGTTCTATGCCTATGTCCCGGAAAAGTCCATTGACCAGAGTGAGTAGATTGAGATTAAGAAACGAAAAATCCACGTCTCTTTCATCAGTTGTTGTTACGTTGTTGTTATCGATTCAGCTCTGTCATCAGAAAGTGAACAAAATCTCTTGTAAAAATCATATCTGTCTTTTCAAAATAAGATTGTTACAATTCTTTTCTTGCTGGCGTTTAATTTGAATGTTACAATTTTTTTCTTGCTGGCATTTAATTTGAATCTCTTTTTCCTCCTTCAAAATGTCAAATAATGCGGCTAGGCGTTTTTAATAAGAGGAAGAAAACTCACACCACCCCAGTCCTAAAAAAGTTGCTTTGGACAGCTGCATGTTAAGAGCTGTATTATTTACAAAGTTTGTTTCTTCTGTTGTAAATGTTTAAATACAGTAGTCTTCGCCTAACTAAGATCCCACCGCTTATGGTCCCGGTTCACCTAAGATGCCACTGTTTTGGAAAAACAGAATTTTTAATAAAAGTCACCCCCAAGATCCCACTCTGACCCGCACTGAAGGAGCTACATTCCCGCTTTTCGGGTCATAATTTAGTTTTTTTTTCTTCTTAACACTTTCCCTAGGCTCGCGGTCCTGGCCTTGCTGGGCCGAGAGCCGCAGAATGTGGCTCGGGTGGCTCTCTATCTATTCCAGTCCAGTAATGAAATTCTCGGCCGATCCAAGTTTTCAAAATAATAGAATAGACTTCCTGTTAGTAGATACGAAAGAAAATATAACACTGAGAGATGATTTTCTGTCATTTCAGCGCTTTTTGTGTCCCCTTCGAAACGTAAGAATGAGAAGAAAAGCGCTCCCCTGACTTCAGTATATGTCTCATATTTTCATTTCTATATTAGGTACACATACATAACTTTCAGCATTTCTTTGCATTACGTGAGGCAACCTACCTGGGAAGTTTGAATGATGCTGTTGTTGTACTTTTTTTTAATATGACCTTTCAAAGCTGGAAAATTGTTGATTTCATATGACACCTTCGATATTGCATAATCACTTTTAGAAACCCCAAACTAATATAATTGGAATAAATCTTTAATATTGTATCACCATCTGATAGATTATTTTTTAACCTTCAGTTTGATGGGCCATATGATATGGTTTGAGTGTGTTTAGCTGGATGATTTGACAATTTCCTGTGGTGGGGTAGGGTGTAAAAATAGGCCATGGAAAAGCCCTGGGCCAGTGGTGGATTTTGGTCTGGTACAAAAAGAGTTTAGGAAAAAAAAAGGATCAGAAACTCGGGCGCTCTCAGCTTATCAGTTAAGTAGCGAAAACGTGCAATCATTGTACGGTCCGTCGCGTCACGGATCATCCACTTTCATGAATGCGATCACACCTCTCTTTTAATTCTGAAAAGTACTTTTAGTGTCAGTTCATTTTGAAGTAAGGGGAGATTATACAGATTTTGGGCCTGACCATATGAGTTGCTGTACATTCTTCCCCTAGCCATTCGGCTAAGATCCCAGTTCGCCTAAGATCCTGCATTTTCCTTGCTCCTGAGGACAGGGATCTTAGGCGGAGACTACTGTAACATTGCACCGGCCTGTCTCTCAGACAGCCTTCATATTATGTACCAGCAAGAAGTGTTAGGTCATCCAGCAATGAAACAATTTTACTCAAACCTTAAGGACAGTTTCCCTTTTGTATTATGGTCCCAGTCCTCTGATGTGGAATGGCATGCCAGATATATAAAAGACTCAATTTTCCAAGCAATGCTTAAAAAACCCCCAGTTAAAAGTAGCATCTTTTTGTTGAAGCATCTTTTTGGTTTTCTTACCCTTTTGATCAATGTAATGTTATAAAACTAGAGAGGGAAGAGAAAAAGAGAGGGGAGGGAGGAGTGAAAGGATCATCATAAGAAGATCATTGAGTGAGCACTTTCTAAATGAAAATGCACTGTGTCAATGCAATTTAATACTATTTATTATTATCGTAGGTCTCAATATTCCTCTGTTTAGCAGATTTCCGCTACCGCCATTTCCTCCGCTAAACTCCGTATTCGTTACTCTTTTACTTGAAATTATCTTCCAAACCTTCAAATTGGTATGAAATAACCTAGCTTTGATAAATTAGTGGCATTCTAGGGTTAAACAGTATAATGATAAAGGGTGTCTCGCCAAAATGGTCTTCTGTCGCGATCACGAGGATAGTTCCTCCTTTTTAAAAATTCTGAGTTGAGACCCATGATTATGCAGTAGATATGTGAGCCATCATTCTCATCGTTGTAGTTTTGATATGGTTTATGTCCATATCTGGAAGGGAAATGGATAACAGGTACCCTTTTCTGGGTCATTTCATGAACAGGGTTGGTGATTTTTTTGATTTTTAAAATAAAAATTAAGAAAATCGATTTTTTTGATTTAAATCAGATTTTTTAAATTTAAATCGGATTTTTTTGATTTTTAAAAAAATGTCGACTCAGTTTGGGATTTTTGGTCGCTAAAAGTATGTCCTTTTAGTGCAAATTGCATTGTCTTTATTTTAACTAATGATTAATTCAAGCAACTGCAAAAAGAAAGCCTTAATCTGCTATATCAGTGAATTATGGCTACAGACAAAAAATGAAGTAAATGTCTGTCTAAAGGGGGGGGGGGGGGGGGGTAATTATGCTTAGATAAACTTGCATTTTATTTCAGTGTGTGTGTGTGTGTGTGTGCATGCGTTTGTGTTTGTCTAAAAAGAAAAAGAAAATGCTAATTTCAATTATGAAAAAAAAAAAGTAAATTGAATAAGTACTGCATTATTTTACAGTGACAGGGAGGGAAGCAGACTTTTAAGCATGATTACATTAGTCTACGTAACCTTATATCTGTTTTATAAAACCATGAAAGGAATTTTGAATGTTTAAAGATGTCAAAACAGAATACATTTTTAAAAAGTGATTTAAATCAGTTTTATTTTTAAAATCAAGTTGATTAAAATTTTTTTTAAATCAACTGATTTAAATCAACCCAACCCTGATTTCAATTATGAAAAAAAAGTAAATTGAATACTGTATTATTTTACAGTGACACGGGGGGAAAGCAGACTTTTAAGCATGATTATATTAGTCTTCTAAACCTTTATATCTGTTTAATAAAACCAAGAAAAGGAATTTTTAATGTTTAAATATGTAAAAACTGAATACATTTTTTAAAATGTGATTTAAATCACTGATTTTTATTTTAAAAATCAAGTTGATTAAAATAAAAAAAATCAACTGATTTATATCAACCCAGCTCTGATTTCAATTATGGAAAAAAAAGTAAATTGAATACTGTATTATTTTACAGAAAGCAGACTTTTAAGCATTATTATATTAGTCTACTAAACCTTATATCTGTTTTATGAAACCAAGGAAAGGAATTCTGAATGTTTAAATATGTAAAAACTGAATAAAAATAAATTTAAAAAAAAGTGATTTAAATCACTGATTTTTATTTAAAAAACCAAGTTGATTTAAATTTAAAAAATCAACTGATTTAAATCAACCCAACCCTGTTCATGAACATGGACAGCTGAATAGTTGTCCTTTCAGTTGTGTTTGAAATCTCCTTTGTTCACAATGGCTCTGCTTTAGTAAGCTCTTTGGCATTCTTTTTCTTCTGAAGTGTATTTAAATCTGAAAAAATATGACCTCATTGCCTTTTAAAATTGGAGTAAAACGGACAGTAAAGCCTTTGATTTGGTCCAATGGTAATTTTAAAAAAATCTCTTTGATATTTATACATTTTGAAACCAAAGACTTTGTGTTGGTGGTCAATTTTCTAGAACGTATCGAAAATATACTTCTAGATGAAGACGTGAAAAAGGATAAGTTATTCAAAAGCTTGGCCCTTCATTGTGAACGAGAGGAGATTTCTACCTGATTTGTACCCCAAAATGAATTCTGTTTCTCAGCTTCCCATGTTAAAAGGATATTACCTTCGTTCCTATACTCCAGCCTACTTTGACACCCCGATCCTGAGTGGGCGGACGCGCAGCAAGAACACCAAGACCAAGCCGTCGGACGCTCCACACCTGCCTGAACCTGCCCCAGCCACTCAGACTCCAGTGAGCACCACAGGACCGTTGCCTGTCTCTGGGGATTCAGCTGGACATAATAACGTTTCTGGGCCGCAGCCGGCAGCTGGGGTCAAAACAGATGGGAGCTCTATGGACTCTGGCTCAGGAAAGAGGTCCACTCGGTCACTCCGCGTTAAAGGTAATTTAGGTTGAGGGCATCTTTTTGGGGTCAAGTCAGTCTTATATTGTGAGGCATCGTGGTGAAATCAGGCGCTCGTCAAAATAATGAAATAAAAGAAATCGGCGTTTTTGGGGGGCGAGGGGCAATTTCCTTTTCATCTTATGGTGGACTTTAGGTAGCAATGCCAATGAAAAACTGATTCTTTGCTTTAGCCCATTTTTATTTGGTACTTAAGAAAGTTTTCAATTCTAAGAATTATACTTTTTTAAAAATTAAAAGAATTGGTTCATAAATTTAAAAAAGTTATGGGGTTGTAAAGGTCGGCAAAATATGGATGACCCACATGTAAGAAAATACTCTTACTCTTAAACAGTGGACCACGAAACAGCAGACTCTGTAAGAAAATTGACGACATCTCAGTAATTAATTGGAGTGTTACAAAGAAACTTGGCTACCCAATGTGTTTTTGGGTTGAGAAATCATTTTTGCAGATTTACTAACCATTTTGTAACTTTATTATAATTAAAATTTTGGTGTACATATTACGATTTTGAGAAAAAGGGATGTCGGGATGAGAGCATTTTATTTATAGCATCATCACAACATGGGGTCAATAAGAATATGTTGGCAGTGTGACTAAATAATGGCAAAGCTTTCTTTGATGACTTTAGACCATGACAACCGTAAAAAATAATTCAATTCATTCTAGCATGTCGTACAATTAAAAACTGTTTTTTCCTGTTGAGACGCAAACACCCCGAGGCGAGATAAGCTCTACTCGGAATACCCCCATTGCGATGTTACCGGGAAACAGAAAAACACCCGGGTACGCACGCCCGCCAGTGCCCTATTTCAAGTAACCAATGAACAGGCTTGGAATAATCGTTCAGGGATTTGTAGGTCACATACATTTGCTTAAGGAGTGAGGGGAAAATGGCTGGTCTCCGTGTGAAGCCGCTTTGGGCAGGGGGGTAGTGGTACATTTATAATCATTCTAAACATCTAATTGATTCATAGTGTTCCAATTTGAGGATGCCAAAGAGGAAAGATAGATCTATTACCTTCTCAGCGTTAAAAATCAAGCTCCTTATAGTTTTCAGTATACCTGATACGAAAGTATTTACGACACCAAAAATAGAGGTAAATTTATGGGTACCAACTTCAACGTCCACATATTATTTTACCCTATTTTCTGATGTGTTGCCTAGTTTCATTCACATTGGTCAAGAAATAGCGCAGAACGAGTTTCACAAAGTTTGTCACTTACGTTCCGACCAGGTCCAACAATTCACCCTCAAACTGGGACCAACATTTCGCTGCCCGATGAAGCCCAATTGGCATTGCTACATTATGTTTGATGGGGTACTTTTTCCTTTTCATTCTTTGACTATTATGTCATGTTGTTCTTGTTAGCGATCCAGTGGCGTCTGAGCATCAAATCTTTTGCATGAAGCCATTCTGTAATAGCTGCATGTCTTTTCTAATTGTTGTCTTTAGAAGTAGAGGCAGTTAGATGTAATGTGTGGGGTAGCTTGGGAAGAAAACTTCCCCTCAAATCGGTTAGTTTTGTACAGAAGAACATGATGTTCCACTGTCTCTGAGGGGTAGTCACATAGTGGGCAGGCAGCAGACTGCTTTACTTCTATGCAGTTGAGATGTTGATTGAGGGGCACATGTACTATTAATATATCATCAGGATGTGAATTGAATCTGAGACTAGTTTGGTCTGGGAGATTATTGGGGTGGGTGGAGAGCTAAAAATAAATTTGGATCATCTATTCTTGAAATAAGTTAAAAGCATCTTTCACACATGATGTCATGGTGGCCCAGTTGTAGAGGTCACATAAAGTGGAGACTAAGAAGGTGCATCTTTGGTCACGTTACTTCAGATTGGAGAGATGCAGGAGTTGACTTTGATGAAGGATTACTGTGGCATATCCTGGAATATAAGTATGCTGTGTATTAGCAGTGGGAGCTACTGAGGAAAGAGTTTGTATTTGACTCGAAAAACAGAGCACTAGATGAGCCCCCAATTATGGCAATCACTAAACTGGTCATTTGTTTGTTGAGATACAGATGGAACATTATATTGGAGTAGGACATTGAGTGGCCTTATTTCTTTCTGTGTATTTGACTAGAAAAACAGATCAATAGATTGGGCCACCAATAGTGGTAACCTCTAAACTGGTCATCATGTGTTTTTTGAGGTACAGATGGAACATATAGGAGTTGGACATTGAGTGGCCTTATTTATTCCTTGAAGGCGTACTTGGTGTGTGTCCAATATCTTCAGCCCTCAGTGATGAGTAGGGGACAAAGGTCCAGATTTTCTTCTCTTTTTGTTTGACTCGCTGGTTCCCTGGCTATGCACCATTTTTTAAAAGCTACCATCATAGAACTCCCTGCTTTTTTCAGTAAGTCATGAAATGTTCTATTTCCGTCTGTATGATGTAGTTATTCTAAAAAATGCAATGTGTGGGTGGTTTGCGGGTGGTGTGGTTTACTCCTTCTTTCCTATCAAACTACTTTGGTCTTTATCTCTCCTCCTCCTTTTTTATGTTTGTTACTCTCTTGTAAAACATCTAATCTTCAGCACTTATATGTACTTATTGTGTCGCAAGTGCCGTAAAACTCTTACTAAAACAAAAAAAAATAATGCAATGTTTTCCTTTCTTTAATCCACAGAAAATGTAACAGATCAGAGTGCCAGCAAGCGCCGGCGTGGGAATCAACGTGAACAGAGATAGCACACGGGTGACAGCAACTAGCATAAATCTAGTATAGTTAGATTTTCTTTTGGTTGATTGAGTTGATTTTTAAAAAAAAAGTACTAAAGGTGTAGTTAAATGTGTGTGTGTGGGTGTGCGTTTGATGTGGCATCAATGTGCCAGTTGAGGAAGCTATTATTTTCGTCTGAAGGTGATGAAAGTTTTTCCTGTTTTAAAAGTTAAAATTAAAGGTCTTCTGAGAGATTTCAGCCTAAAGGGTGCTGCACAAAGATTTGGTTGTCAATTATTTTGTTTTACCATTTATAGAACAAATGGATCAAGCAACTAATGTTTGAAAACAGGAAGCTCACAAGGTACAAAATTTTAATAGTCCGTATTTTTATGCAGTGATTTCGACCGTGTTATTTTTTAACCAATGATGGCTAATTCTTTGTGTCTGGAACCGGCGTTGATAAAAATACTAACATATTTTAATCTGAACACTTTGCCCACTCGGGCTACGCTTAAAAAATGGCATTTGAGTATGTGATGTCCTTCCTTTCTCGTCTAGATTTTATTGTAATTAACACTTAGTCTACACAGGCCAATTCGACCTCTTTATGCATTCTTTTTTTTGTGATTTTTAAGGGTCTATAGTTAAGTGAATATAGTTTTCCTTTCAGGCCTGTATAAATGAATAACCCCTAACAATTTTTCAGAAATAAATACGCAATTAAATTTGCTGTAAACAAATCATATTTAAATCATGAGAGAAGAGACATATCCCTTGAAGGAGGAGAAAACCTGATACAAAAAGAAAAAGAAAACATTTTTAACTCGCATGTATTCATGGAAGAGAGTGATCCATTTAGAATGATCGATATAGTATATCCAATAAAAGAATATCTATTTGCCATTGTGGCGAAATCAGGCACCTGTCAAAATAATGAAATGTAAGAAATTGAAAATTTTCCACCTGTTGGACATTTTGCTTTGGGGGGCAAGGCTGTTCACCACCTTTTATATCCATTTAAATTCAAAAACTAATTTCTGTTTTAGTTTAATTAAAAATGATGATTAAAGGAACAAAAATATAAATTGCAGTTTCCAAGCACAGTAAATTTTTAGAAGTCGCTAAACTTTGGTAGTCATTTTCTTGCTAATTTTACCTGACACAAGGCGAAACAGTTTAAAGATCCTATTGACTTCACCTGCCCAAAAACTGATGAGCCCTGCCCAAAAACTGATGAGCACCTTGTTCCCATGTGTTATCACAGTAATGGCTAGTTTCAAAGGTTTATGACCCAAACAAGCAGGTTCCGCTTAAAGAGTGCAAGTTTGCACTGTAAATTGGCAAGACATTCACTTGAAGTGATGTGTTGGCATTTTGGCTAGGTTTAGTAGGTCATGTGATACTTTGGGTGAATTTTATGAGAAAAAACGACACAAGTTATATTTTTGAGAACAAATGTCTTCGTATTATTTGTACTGTGGCACTTTTGAGCTTTGGATCAGATTAGATTGTGGGATAGCATAAACATGGTTAAAACCAGTTTCAAGTCTTTCCCTACAGAAAGGCATTCTTCTTTAAAACGTGATCTGTTTTATAGGTTCTCAAGGTGTTTGAAAAAACAACAAAATACCCCAGCTATAACTTTGACAAATATTCACCAAACTTGAAGTTTGACCCCTAAAATTATTGCAAACTGAACACACAGCATGACAACATAAACATGAAATATGTGAATGTAGAATGTGCATAAAATGGATTATAGTTATGCAGATTGAAAATTGGAACAAGTGAGTAGTGAGAACGTCATATGGAGTGTCGCTGTGTATGAGGGGGTCTTTCGGTTTACCACTTGTAGTGAAGAACTGGAGGGAAAGGGGCAAGTATGAGGACTGTGTTTGGTGGCTGCAAGTCTTGCCAGCTATTGAATTTGAGTAAATGGTCTCATCTCCATACTGAGGGAGACCAGCACCGCTGCCAGTCAGACATTAGAGGTACCATCTTGCATAAAATATGGTATTGGATAACCAAATTTGTTCTTACTGTGTACATCTAAAAAAAGAATGCTGATAGTTGCCCTCTTGTGTGGAAGTTTATTTTTTCCTATATTGCACATACAAAAAGGCTTGCAACTCTACTTTTGTTGTACTGCATTTGCTATTAATGGTGTACAATCTAGGAAAGGTTAGAATAACTCGTGGCCTTGTTTTTACTGTTTAAGAGTATTTGTTACCAGTACTGGTTAGGTGTGGCCTTGTTCTTGACAAATATATTTTCAGGGGTGTTATCAAAGGTACTAGAAAAGTTTTCTATGTGGCTGTGTTCAGTTTCTTAAATGAGTTTCCAGTTAAATGGTTTGAAGGCCAAATCTTGACACCTTTAGGTTTTTTTTTGGGGGGGGGGGGGTGTTGGTCTTTTCTGTATGACATGTTTGAACCCCATGACTGTCCTGTCAAGTTTGAGGTTTAACACCGTGAGCTTATTGCCAAAGCGTTGGGAAGAGACCAGGTTTGGGAGGGAGGTCTAAATGTTAGTATGTTGTCTCCTTCGATGTTTCAACGCTGTCAGTTTTTGCGAAATAGTGTCTGATTCTATCAGGGACCATGTGTTTAGATATTTTATGTTTACTCAATTTTGTTGCTCTAAGTCATATTTTGATTTACTATTAGCTGTTTTATGATTGATTTTTTTTTTGTCTCATAGAGGTTACTTTTCATTCTTCATGGTTTGGGGGTTTTTTTTGTCGGGGATAGGGAGGGCTCATGTTCTGTGGGACCAAATCATATTTTAGATGTATTTCAGCGCATGAGCAAGTTGTATGCGCTGTGGACTGTGTTGTAAAGGCAGTGGCTACATTCAGAGGATTGTGTGGGGTGTAGAACCTGTGTTTTTGCCAGTGTTGTGAGGGTTGAATTGACCTCTGGTTTCTCAAGTGCATTGCTTATTCTGTGTGGCTTTTTTGGGGGTTTTTTTTTTTCGGGGTTTGTTTGAAATGCATTGCTGCCTAGATTGGTCTGAGCTTAACTGTGATGATGTGTTCCGGGGGTTGAAGCGATTGCTTTGATTTCAAGGTGTCATGTTTGCTTTATGAATTTTACATTTTGTGTTAGTCTTTGACTTGGATGAAGAATGGCTTTGTAATCGGTCCCATATTCGGGCATGCACTGACATATTTGAGAATAAATGTTTGCCTGAAGTGGTTGATTGGTTGTGCATAGCTTTGGGAGTGGGGGAACTTGGTTTTGTTCAGTGTTTGAGTTCGAGCTGGGACATTAGAATATTACTCTTCTAACTGTGCTTGGTGGAGCTGCTCTGAAATCTTTTTTTTGTAATGCGTCCAAAAGGAATGGGTTTATTAACAAGTTTATTTTATTAAATCAACAATGGATTGGGAAACACTAAATTTAGTTTGTTTATGTATAGGCAATTGCTTCTATGGGTTTGGTTTTGTACATGGCTTGGTTTGACATTTTATCTCATGAAGTCCCAAATTGTATTGATGGAACTCCCCAACAGAAGAACCTAAAGTGGCTAAATAAGCTAACGTAGCAAAAGTAACAGAACTCAACATAAAATGGTTAACTCATGTGTGCATTTTTTTTTTGGGTGTGCGTTGGTCCAGTAGGTTTGCGTATTACTTTTGTTTTGCCATTCGTGGTCTTTCTGATTCTCTGTGCCCATTATGGCGCCCCCACCCCTCCCCAAACCACCGCCACCACCACCACCCCAAACACGCACACGCGCACACACACACACACACACACACACACACACACACACACACACACACACACATTCTTTCTCGCCTCCTACCGCTACTTTAGTGTACAAGTGAGAGAGGCTGTTGAGGCCTCCCCTTAGTGTTCAGTGGTTTCGCCTGTATGAGGAATGTACATATTATATGGGAGAATAAACCTGAAAAGAAGGAAATAAGATCAAAGCCTGCTTCACATCCTGCTTTACACGAAATAGAGAGAGCGTTTATATTTTCGTACCATGGTGTAAATATTCATGTTTCATTGCTACCAGATGAGACCCGTTTAATTTAATCTTGTTTATTGCATCTGACTGCCTGACCCAGTCCCCCTGAATGAGTGTGCTAGTGTAGTAATCCTGGCACGTGCGAACACGGCCTGTGGTTTACACACAATGAACAGCGTGGTGATTCATTAGAATGAAGTGAAGTAACAAAAAAGATATATCTATATATATAAAAAAAAAGTCAAGATATCAGGTGTGATGTGTCTTGTGATAGCTTTTCTTCCTCACAATTTTTTTTTTGCTGGACATAGTTTGAATTGCCTTGTTTCCTCAAAGGTAATTATTGTTGTCTTTGGGTCTTTTTTTTTCTTCTGAGTTGACTTTTGATGCATAATTATTGAAGTTGTTAATTTGATGATGATAATTATAAAAGGGATTGATAATTTGTATAACCATGAAGTTTCTATTTGCCATGATTGTGGACTTTGATTTGCAGTGTGGCAATGCTGTTGTATAGATTTCTTCTCAGATGTTTTCCTTTTTTTTTTTACCGTGTGTACATTACTGTTACAAAATTTGTTGAACCAGTGTTTTTCCCCTCAAGGTTATATTTTTGTCTTCTCTTCTTACTCTCTTTCTTCTTCACTTTCCCCCTTTTCCATGATTGTTGAACATTTTTCATGTAAATAGTCTACAGTAATTTTTGTATTCTTACTTACTTTCAGAATGGCTACTCAAATGTCCATTTCGTGAACATGAACTTGTCATTTTAATTATGACGTGGAGAGGGTGGTTATGTTGTAACCACATGGTCACCCTCTCTTCCGGTATTGGTCTTTGCTCATTTTTGGGGAAATGAGTAAGCCTATTTGTAGTTACCATTTGTAGCCCTTTTCTCAAGTTGCAGTCATTTGACTTGCTTCGTCAAAGTGTACAGAAATGGAGTTTAGACAGGAAAGGACTGACGTGTTGAAATAAATGTCTAAAGATTTCTAGGATTTGCTGTTGTTTTGTGTTTGATTGCTTTTCCCCACCCCCCCTTTTGGGAGTGACAGCATGAAATGATGTAGTATGTTCCCAAAACCCAAACCCTGGACTCAAGTGTGTGCGTGTGCAAGCAAATGTGAGTGTGTGTTATGGGAAACCTTGAAGTGTAGAATGTCTGATGTTGTCAGGCGTTCCCCAGAATTCTCTGGTACGTCTTGTTTTCTTCATGATAGCCTTATTTCATCTCTACGCGTGAGCATCATTAGTTATCACACACCCAGTAAGCTTGGACAGCACAGATGACGTAAACTAGTCTCCAGTGTATATATGAGTTCAAAGGTCATTGTGGTTGCTCACACTGCTTGGATGCTTTTTTTTTTTTTTTTTTTGGACATTTGTTTTGTCGAGGTTTTGTGTTCTGTCGTCTTCTTTGGTCATTTCAAAATAGTAAAAGAAAGGTGTACTTTGTTAGCCTGGTTTGCACATTTTCCTGTCTATAATCTTTCAGTCTGCCTTTTTCGTTTTTGTTCTTGTTATGGTCTGGTGACAATTTCCTAATGTAGCTGTCAGGTTGATGATAGGAATAAAAAAAGAATTCCTTTTAGTCATTCTATGCTGTTATTAGGAGTGAGTTTGTTTTGCTTCCTGCTTTTGGAAGGAAAGTTTCAGTGTCCTCTTTTTGCAGAAGGGTTGTAACATTATTGTATTGCCAGCTCCCATAGGTTCAGAAGAATAATCTAGGTGTGTGTGTGGAGCACAACCAAATGCAATTCTTGATTCATATTTTGACCCTGTTTAGAATATGAAAGAACATTTCCAGCAGGTTATGGAGTGCTTTTTTTACTCTATTGTTTTCGAATGGCAACAAAAACACATCGAACTGTTTCTTATTTGAATAGGTAGATTTAGGAAACCCTGTGTAGTGTAGAGAGATGTGTTTCAAAGAGAAAATCCCTCCCCTGTTACTAAAGACCAAGACTATCTTTCTGCTTTGCTCATGTTTTGTGCTCACTCAGGCAACATGTTTCAACATGTTTCTCAGTCCCTGTGGATGAGGATGAGTGAGTAACGTCCAGAGCTCTCATCTTATCTATATATCTGGAATCTATAAATGATACTATAATCAAGTTTTTTAGACTTTTAACAGGACGTAGTAATGTGTTGACTTATTACGGAGTTGTTCGTGCTCTTCAAAGCTCCTACTTCTGTCCCTCTTTCTCTTTGTTTTAAAGTGCATAAAATTGGTCGTGCTTTTCAGTACATTTTCCATTTCTTTCTTTCTTTCCTTTCTTGTGATTGAGCCTGTCCTGCCGCCCAGACACGTTCTTTCTATCATTTTCTTGTCTAGAAATGATACCTGAGTGAAAAGCGTTTGTGTCTGGGGGTTGTCTGTAATGTATACATGTCCTTGTAGGCGTCTCGTATACTCACTGGAACCAGAGACTTGAGTGTAGGCAGTTTACTCACTGATTAGACTACTACAACTTGTGTGTTAACTTAGCATGTGTTCATTATCTCATCATCTTGTCATTATTTACCACCACCACACTGTGGCCCCCATGTCTGAGGCCAACATGTCATGTAGTTATAATAATGTGGCAGTGTATATTGTAGCATACTGTAAATACCAGCCACCCCCTTCATAATTATTGTTATTCTCATCTGCATTCATTGTCATCAATTTCATTGAGTACTTTTGTTTACTTTCACTTGTGCACATCTTTAGAAATAACGAAATAACTTTTAAATAATACAGATCGTGGCCTGATGTGTTGTGATTTTTTTTGCTCATTGTTTCATTGTTGATGTTTTGTCCATGGTACTTCTTCTCCCCCCATGTCTGCCTGGTCTTTCTATCTGTCTCCTCCTCCCCCCCCCCCCCCCCCCCCAACACTCTTATGAACATTGTTGTGTCCCTTAGTGCCTCTTTAGTTGAAACGAACTTATAACTTATTATTAGGGTATTCAGAAGACTGGAGTGGATTATGAAGAAGTCAATTTTTTTCCTTTTTTCTGTGTTTTCTGCCTTGCCCAACATTGCAGGAAGTTGAAGGGTGCGATACCGCCAGTAGATCCTACTTCTCTGACTTGTTTTTGTTTTATTTGTCTGTCTCTCAGCACTAGGTGGCAGGTATTGTATCAGTGTGCGTCTCTTTAAACTTGGAACGGGTGGTTGACGGGTGCTCTGGTGTGGTTTGCTTTTTCTTTCCTATGAAACATCTATCGTCTTTATTTCCCGTTCTTCTTTTTTATGTTTGTTACTCTCTTGTAAACCTCTAATCTTCTGGCGCTCATATGAACTTATGCAGTTGAGAGCACCGTAAAACCTCTACTAAAACTAAATAACTAAACTTGGAACAAAGTTTCATAACACGACAGTGTGGCCATGCTCATAACAGACTCGGATCTTTTATTATTATCTTCTCCTCCCCTGTAATTTAATACATCATGCTGTGATCACTGTATGACTGATAAAGTTTGTGAGAAAGGCACTTATGAGGCTCTCCACCCAGTGGGTGGCTAGATCATCAGTTCCGCCAGGGATCACTTGGTTTTTTTTCTCTCGGAGTACTTGAATTCTGTGTGTACAAATGTAGATGACTTCTCCACTTTGTGAGATCAGGGTTTGTTTCCTCGTTGATCACACGCGAAATTGGCATCTGTGGTATAGCAAACAGTTAAAGTTGAGCGTTTCATCGTGACATGCAGAAGGAGCGAGTTTGTTTTCTGTGTTTGGGAATTTTAAATCAAATTTTTAATATTTTTTTCAATCGAATATGCCAATCTGTCTGTTGGGAAGTTGTATCCTTTTCAGCTTGGGTTGGCCCTGACTGGCAAGGTGGAAGCAGTCGGACTCCTAAATGATTTTAACAATTTTTAATGGGGGGCAAAAGACATACAATTACTAATACAGTTGAGCCCGCTCTGACAGCCACCTGTATAAGTACTATAAGACAATCACCTGTACAAATGGCCACTTCCCATTTCCTCCTTTGCTGTATTTTCTACATTTCTGTGACAGTCGAACCTGTCATGACGACCACCTCTTTTATACGGCCTCTTGTACAAAGGGCCAATTTCGATTTCCCCCCTTGCGTTTTTTCTAAATAATTTCACTGTGTAAAACGGCCACCTGTCCAACGAGGATGCGGCCACCCTATTTTAACACACAGCCAAACAATAACACCTGTCTTAGACGGCCACGTTAATGACTTCATTACATTTTGTCATAAATTATGCACTGGCCCCTTGCGTTGTGGGTAAGCCGTCATGATCCAATCACCTGTCGTTATTGTTAGATAGTCCCTATAACTATGACCAATCAAGATGCGCAGGCCCCTCCTGCTGTTGACCAATAGGGAACAAATTTTCAGCTTCTGGCGAGGTATGCCACCGTATCGGTGGCCCCGTGTGCAAGTTGCGCACGTTAAAGATCTCTTGATGGTCCAAAAATCGATGAGAGTAGGCTTTGGCCGCCACCCGGGCAAAATTAAAATTTCCTGCCAGTTGAAAATGTTTGGTGTGTCCTGCGCGCTCATATGACCTTATGCAGTTGCGAGCGCCATAAAATACTTACAAATATATATCCTGCAAAGTAGGCCTACATGTAGTAAAGTTTTTAAAAAGTTATTTCCCTTCTACTTTTCTAAAGAGTCTGATGAGCTGTGCTGGCTCTGGAAAGGCACTTTACTTGAAATTTCCTCACTTCACTCAAATAGAAAGGGGAGAAGAAGGGGGGACATTAATTTGTTCTTTTGCTCAGTAGAATTGTAAATGGGCGGATTCATCAATGTCATGCTCCTAACTGCCTGAACTGCATACGGGGAACTGCTGCCTTTTCTTTCCTTATCCTTACTATTGTCATTTTTGCCTCTACTTCTTTTGTATGTTTGTCACTCTCTTGTGAACTGCTATTTCCGGGGTGCCCTGATAGTGGAAGCAGACTTTTTTTCCCTTTTTTTTTTAATAGTAGAGGGTTTTACGGCACTCGCAACTGCATAAGGTCATATCTGCCGTCGTAAGGGAAAACGACGAATGGTCAAAATTTTTCGATTTTTTTATTTTTATATATTTCATAGAGTATTTAATTCTGCATTTGATGGTGTAAAAAATTTTGTCCTATCCTAATCCGTTGTTGCGTAATTGAGAGTTCGTCGTTTTCCCGTACACTGGCGAGCTCCGAGCCAGAGCTCAGTGTAAGGGAGAACGACGAATGGTCGATCGGTCAAGGATCACTGCTTGTTCGGCATTGTCCCCTGGTCTCTGCCGTTGAGCAAATTTGGCATGGGCGACGAATGACAATTGGTCACTGTTGCGTCAGTACATACATATTAGGTTTTTTTCAAACAAACACGACGGAGTACCGTCGACCAGGTTTATAAGAATGTATCACTTAGTGTGTCTTTCTGTCTTCAGGTATTAGGCCTATGCTGATTGTGTGAGTTGAGAAGAGCAGGCGGGAGAGAGGGAAAGGGGTGGGACTGGGAGGGTCATAAAAGTATTAAGGGAGAAATTTATTTGCACTGCATATTAGTTCACAGACTAACGTCATGTTAGTTTGCTGTCCAGTCATTTGACATCCCATATCCCAACGATGGCTATAGTGCCCCAATTTGTCTAGCACGTGTCGCTGGTCGACATCATAGAATTACCAAGCAATTAATGACACTGCATTATGAGAGTAAATTTCTTTGTCCAACTTAAAAAGTGGACGTATTGTGGCGACACTTTGTCTTGCTTTACGATTTTTTATGACTTGATGGACGTTACGATCGAGTATAATAATGTCTTGCAGATTCAAACTGTCCTTGTCGATCTCTACTTTGTTGTATGTTTTCCGATCCGATCAACTGAATCCTTTATTAAATACAAAGCGTCGCATTACCTCTCCCGAAAGCGTTTGTGATACAGTCTTGTCAGATTGTTACATTTCTTACGAGAAAGTTTGACTTTGCAATGATCTGATCGTATTATTGACATTGTAACATTGTTGATCCCTTTGGTCGTGCAGGGAAAATTTTGCAATTAGCGAAAATAAAAGTAAAACTCGCTTCTGAAGAGAATACAATAAAGAGATATCATGGAGATCAAACTTTTGTTCCGAATGAGACAGTTTTAAATCAAGCTGTTGAAAATGTGCGCACATCTGATTTGTACGCTGACTGTAGTATTTAACCAAGCGAGGAAGGCAAACAAAGGACGTTTACCGAGTTAAAGTTGGGATAAAACAAACACCTAACTTTATACGTAAAATAATAGCTAGTTTGTATACGTTTTTATTTTTATTTGTAGTAACCAGTATACAGTCATTACTGTCAATAATGCGTCACAACTGACCATCGCCTACTCCCATAAACGTTCTCGAGTGAAAGGGAGAACGACGAACCGTATCATTCGTCGTTTTCGCGTACATCGCAAGGCTCACCTGCGGGTGTGCAGTGTAAGGGAGAACGACAAATGTCGAATAACTTTGCTACTTTTTAACCTAAACCTTTCAAACTTAAGAAACTGCACCATGAGCACCCCAATCAGATATCTGGTGAATTACAGCTTAAAAGAGTGAAAAATAGAAGAGTTATAAAGTGAAAACAGTTTTGGCCTCTCCTGAAAAATTTGCCTCGCTACCTGCGCAGGACCATTCGTCGTTTTCCCTTACGACGGCAGATATGAGCGCCAAGGGATGGGTGTCAACAGAGAAGTCTTTACAGGGAATCAGACTTATTCTGCCCACCTCTCTAGCTTCAACAGCACAAGGTCTGCTTCGACTATCAAGGCACCCCGGAAATAGCAAGTCACAAGAGAGTGACAAACATACAAAAGAAGTAGAGGAAAATGACAATAGTAAGGATTAAGAAAGAAAAAGCAGCAGTTCCCTGTTGTAGATCAGGCACAGTTATGAGCGTGACATGAATCAGCCCATTTACAATTCTACTGAGCTTAAACGAGAAGTGTCCCCCCTTTGGGAATGGCCGACAGTCAGTGGCACTGCCCGGGGGGGTAAAGCAGACTTTGTGCTGTTAAAGCAAGAGAGGTGAGGAGAGTAAGCCTGATTTCCTGTATGGACTTCTCTGTTGACATCCACAACTCCTTGGCGCTCATATTATGTCCTTATGCAGTTGCGAGTGCTGTAAAAACTACTAAAACTAAAAATCCCAGGTAGGAATAGGTAGGCCTACCTAGCTATAGACACGGACAGATCTTGTCTGTTTTTTAGAGTTCAAGGTATTTTCCTTTCTTTTAGTAGTAAGTGTTTTACAGTGCTCACACGAAATGCTCGCAGTTAAAGGGATTTGAAAACAACAACAACAAGCAGTTTTCACAACTGCATGAGGTCTTACTAGCACCCAGGACATATATTTTCAGTTTGGTGGGAATTTATTTAGAAATTTGCCTGGATGGCGACTGAAGCCTACTCACTCTTAATCTTATTGATTTATTTTGGACCTCCAAGAGATCTTAAATGTGTGCAGCTTGCACACAGGACATCCGAGATTTTTTTGCCCTTATCCGAGAAGGCTAGGTGTTCGATCTTACCTACCCTAAGATCAGGGATGTGGCTGAAAGACAGCAGTAAGAAGGAGCCAGGGAGTGGCAGTAGAATAGCAGCAGAAAGAGTCGGGGCCCAGAGGAGAGGGAGGCAAGAAAGATGAGACGAAAGCAGACGACAGCATGATTAGAGAGCAAGAAAGGAGTAAAAGAAAAAAAAATTCAGTTGCTGTCGGGTTGCGAACCAGGGACCTATTAAATGAGAAGCAAACACCGTACCTCTAGACCAAGGGAACCCCTGTTCAAGGGCGTGTAATGTGCAGCTTGCTCTGTATGCTCCGTGGGATGATGAGAATGTTTTTGAACATTCAAGGGTCTGCTAGGGTAATATTATATACATGTAATATGTTCTACAGTGGAGTCCGCTTAATAAAGTGAACTCTTTGGGACCAGAAGAAAGTGTTCACTTTCCTAGGTTCAGTTGAACCATTTTGGTAGGGTGGAGGCTTAAAAACTGTAGCTACGCGCAATGGTGGGTCTCTGGTGGGGTGGGCGCACAACATAGCGGGCGCGCCTAGACTAGAGCTCTTTCTTTCTGATTCTGATTGCTGTCGCCAAGGCTGAGCTGGGATTGTCTGCCAATGCCAGAAGCAAAAAATTTTGTTTTCACAGCATGGTAACAGTGATACCGTTGATCCGTTTTTTGCTTTCATTCATTTTGGGCGTTCACTTTAACCGATTTCCCCATGAAACTGGTTAATTTTATCCACTATTTTTTTACTTGAACAAATTACGTTTCAATCGGGATCACAGAATAAAGATCACTTTAACTCGAACCGACTTCAAATTAAGCGTGTTCACTTTAGGCAGACTCCACTGCATAACTTTGCTGCTGAGCAGGGATATGGGCTAACCAATGTTGTTTATTATTATTTTGATTGTTCAGAAGCCTGAGACATGCCTGTCAGACTGTCAGGAAGGAGTGGACCAGAAGGCTGGTTGTTGTTGTACATGTACGAGTAGTTGCAAGGGGTTCGGGATTTCTGTGGGTGGGTGGCGGGGTAGCCTACGTGGATGGTCTTGGACTCGTGCTGTTGTTTCTCATCAGTTTTTTAGACAACGCAATCAAAAACACATTCAGGGGACCCTCTTTGTGGGTGGTTGGTGGGTGCTCTGGTGTGGTTTTCTCCTTTCCTAGTACAGTATATCAAACATCTCTCTTTTTTGTGTTTGTTTCTCTCTTGTAACACCTCTAATCTTCAGCACTTATATGGGTTGTGCTGTAAAAGTCTTACTGGAAAAAAAAGGACTCTAAAATTTATGTAAGTGCCCTTTACTTTGAAAGGGGAAGAAACAACAAAGAAATACATTAGAGCACAGGTGTCAAATTCAAGGCCTGCGGACTGCGCATCCTGCCTGCAAGAGAATTTTAGAATTTTTTAGGTAGTCCATCCATCCTGAGAATCTCCATAACAACATAGAGCCTTACTCCTAATATTGACTTGTTGCAAAGGAAAAAATGTCAAACATCCAGCTCTGACAAATAAGAGTGAACATTGGTGTAGATTTTACTTTAATTTGAATTGCTATTATTTTTGTTTGTTTGTTTGTTTGTTTAGTATAGGGTTTTACGGCGCTCGCAACTGCATAAGGTCATATGAGCGCGCGGGACACACCTAATACGTTTTCGTTGGTAGGAAATTTTGAACTTTGCCCGGGTGGCGGCCGAAGCCTACTCTTATCGATTTTAGACCACCAAGGGATCTTTAACGTGCGCAACTTGCACACGGGCCCTCCGATATTTTTCGCCCTTGTCCGAGAAGGCTAGGTGTAGATCTTTCCTACCAGAAGATCAGGGGTGTGGCAGAAAGACAGCAGTTAGGAGGAGCCAAGGAGTAGCAGTAGAAAGGCTGCAGAAAGAGTCAGGAGCCCAGAGGAGGGGGCAAAGGAGGTGAGAGGGTGGGGGCAGAAAGTGGACAACAGAACATTGTTAGAGATCAGGAAAGGATGTGAAAGGAGACAATTTTAGAGAAGAAAACTTTTTGGTCGCTACCCGGAATCGAACCCGGGACCTTTGAATGAGAGGCCAACACCTTAACCTCTAGGCCACGAGAGCCCCCTATTATTTTTAACTTTGTCTAAATTAATTCATATTACAAAAGAAGGTTTAGCTTTCCACTGCCCAGTGAGTGTTCAATCCACTTCAGCCTGCAACCTTCAGTGTAATTTTTAAATTTTAGTTTGGTCCCCTGAGCGATTGTTGATTTGAGTTCGACACCCCTGCCCCAAAAATAGAGAAGTAAACACTCCAGACCTGAGCACTAACTCGATCAGTTTACTCTTAATCTTTTATTCTGAGTGTGGTACAACAATGTACATGTGTCGTACAACCTGCCAGCATGTCGCAGATTTGAGGAGACAGAGGAGTTATTCCCCTTCCTACAAAACTGTGGTGTTCTGTGCTGGCTTTGATGTACATTTGTACAGAAGAAAGACGTATCATGACATCATGCATAGAAGTATTTAGAAGACATTTAAAAAAATCTTATTTAACGAACGTGGGGTTGAAATTTACTTTTGTCTTATACGCTGCCATTGTTCTAGTCATGACAATAATACTATCACCGTATAAGGTAAAAGTAAATCATAATTTGTGCTTCTCTTTACTCAACTAACGTACAAACACAAAACATGCATTTATTGATTTCATAATTTATTGATTTCATAATTTATTGCGTAAAAAGCAAAGGGCATTCTTGTGTGAAAGAAAAGATACCACCAGCGCTTCACTATATATTCTTTATCAATGGAAACTGCGTAAAACTCTCTGTGAAGAGGAACACCATATTTTTCTATGAAATTCAAGTACAAATCTTAAAATAAAAATAAATTGTATGCTTGCTAGTGGACTTTCTAAACATTGTTTTGATAAACAATTCGATTTTCAGTGTCTCAATTTTATCCATCAGACTTTCATCAGTTCCATTTACTATATCATGTAGGTGATTTTGATGTACTGTATGAGAAATGTGATACCGATTTGGGTCTGAATCAAATACTGAGTACATAAAACAGTAAACTGAATTACTTTTTCCGGAACAAGTGCAGTGTACACATAGATGCATTAATAAATACTGGAATAAAAATGAAAATGAGGAAAAATACACTTTGACGCTATAGATACAGTCACAGCCGTCTGATGATTTTGTTTTATCCTCGGAGAAGATAAATGGCTTCATTTAAAATACGAATTTTAAACGTTAAAACCAATGGTTGAAAAAATGTTAATTATGATACATTTTCGGGATGGGTGCATGCGTAACTGTTTAGCTTATTGCTATTTTATATACTAACAAATTTGGTAGAAGAAAAAGGTGTTGTGTACTCATTAAAACTAGCATTTTTATGTAAGGAAGATTTTTGTACTGATACTAAGAAGGTCATACCTGTAATATTGTATCACCAGTACGTTTTTTGAAAATATTTGATCTCTTATCAAGAAAACAAAAATCAACAAAATGAATCGTATATATAAATGATATCAATTTTTCTAACGTAATGCAATGAAAGAAGTACCAATTTTTAAAAGAAAGGGTGGGGGGGGGGGGGGGTGTACCTTGTACCATTAGTGTTTTATCTGTCTACCTTTTCCCCCTCTCCATAATGCCCTGTCATCACAACCTTGCCTTCCGTCATAATCCATTGCACAGATCTATGTCTTGATGTTCAATAATATTCAAAGTTTCGGAAGAGAAAATACCCATTTACCCTTCACTTAAGAAAGTTACAAACGGAAATAATATTCTCAAATGTTCTCCCATGCAAAAAATAAATAAAATGGATAAGGAGTTAGGTATGAATTAATGTAATAAAATGATATTTGTAGAAGTAATAAATGTATTGGTTCCTGAAAGTCAGAATTTGACTTAGACAAACACAAACAGCTGTGCTGAATGACACCGTACAATACAAAAATTCTAAAAACACAATTCAATAGGCCCTATTTACACTATACTTTGACAGGGGAAGAAGCAGAACAAAAAATTACACTAGCGCGGAGTAGAAGTAAACACTCCAGACCTGAGCACTGGCTCTGCTAGTGTTACTCCTCTCTTTTACCCCAAACAGATACCAGTAACATGCTCCGTTGCCGAGCTGCTAGATCAATGTGGTATAGTACAGTATGTAACAATAACACCAACCAACTTTTCCAATAGATTCGCTAGCTGTTTGTGAACTTATACAAGCTAACAAAGAACAAAGAACAGTGCACTGAAATTCATAAATTATGTTTTAAAAATCCTAAATAAGTTTGCTCATTAGTTAAAAGATGGTTTAAAGAATTCTAAATAAATTTGTATTTTCTACCCTCTTTGACAGAATCAGTTTTCAAAAGTCTGACTACGGAACATTCCACTGGAACTGACAGGTTATTGTAGTAGGTCATTCAGCTCCTGTCCTGCTCTTGTGACCTTCACCTGCTTTACTCCTGCAGTGTGACCAGGGCAACGAGCATCTTCTTGTAGTCTCCGCTACACTCGCTGTCGATGGTCTCTAGCACACTTGTCTCATACTTGGCTCTGTACGCCTCCTCAATTTCTTCCATGTCAATCTGATGAGGGGAAAATGAAGTATTAAGGGGATTCTCTTTTATATGAGATGTACAGTCGACTCCACTTGTGTTGAACTTGCATGACCTGATCTTCGGTTAAGTTGATATTTTTCTCTGGTCCCATCTCCTCTTCTCCTTTATAGTTCCCTATGATTGAGTTGAACTTTGGATGAGTTTATCTATTTTTCACTTCCCTGATGACATCAACTCATCCGTAGTCAACTGTATAAGATCTATACTTCCCAGGGGATGAAAATAAATGTACTATGTGCGGTATGTAAAAACATAGGAATTAGCTAAAAATTGGTTAATGGACAAAGACCCTCCTCCCTCCACCCTCCTCAGTTAATCTCATATATATGGAAATCATTTACTGGTTTCCCACTTTAAAAAAATGAAACAAATGCAATTGTCATATCATTTATAGA